ACTACTACTACTACTACTCCTTACTACTACTACTACTACTACTACTACTACGACGACGACGACAACGACGACTACTACTACTACTACCACTTCCTTCCTTCCTTCCTTCCTTCCTTCCTTCCTTCCTTCCTTCCTTTTTTCCCGTTTCCGCCAGCCCCATCCCCGCGGAGGGACGCGAAAAAAAAAAAAAGGGCTAAAAAAAATAGGGTCCCCTCTCCTGCATCATCGCCTGGGCGCAGTTGGTTCCACTGCCCTGCTGGCACACACTGTATCCACCAGTGCCGTAGTGCTTGCTGCTGCTCCAGTCTGCACCATTGTCCACACACTTCCTCGCGCAGGAAGGCGTAGGCTCCTCCCCGGTGCAGTTTTTGTAGTGACGCGACACCGAGTGGTGTGCGCAGGGCTGCATCTGGTAGGAGTAGCACATGGACTTGTCACCGTAGTTTCCACCATCCACGATACCCACAGACTTGTAGTACGTGTAGACGGTGGACGGGATCCCACCGTTGCAGCCCATGTCGCCGAGGTTGCAGCAGCTCGTGACGTCCTCGGCAGAAAGGTGGATCTTCTTCTGGCCTTTGCTGGCGATGCAGACGCGATCCGTCATGGCCTCTACGCTTCCGAAAGCCCAGCAAGATCCGCAGTCGGCCTGATCGCGGACTTCCTTCAAGCTGGGGCAATCCTGTGCTCGCGGGTCCGCTCGCCAGTCAAACTCCGCTGGCAACTCGACGTCCTCGGGAGCCTTATGGGGAAGGACACTGCCGTCCAAGTCTTGCAAGGTCCCCATGAGAATCTTGGCGTCTTTCAGCGTGGCACCTGCAAAGCGGATGTTCTCGCCTGCTGTCCATGTTGAACCCTCAGCGGAGTTTACAACATCGATCAAATCCTGCGACACAGCCTTCTCCTTCAAGGCCTCCTCATCCATCAACTCCCCGTGGCTCTCCCACCTCGTCAGCCGTGCGGAGCACACGGCAACCGCAGAGGCAGCCACCAGTCGGCGCAAAGCCATCGCAGCCGAACGTCGGGCCAGTTCAGATGGGGGGCGCGACAGCAGATGAAGGCGCAAGGAGCGCAATGCTGCAGCAACGGCGGCAAGCAAAATCCTAAGACCCACACCAAGCCAAGTCGACAGAAGGCGCGGTGGCTTGTTCATGATTCCGCCTTCTTGCCACCGGCCGCGTGTTCATGAGATTTTCATGCTCCTAGCATTCTCATTGTGAGCCGGCCCAAACTGCCAGGGAACCTCCTCGTTTTTCCAAGCGATTCAAAAATCTTGGCATGGATGTATTACGGTGTCTCCGGATCAACCGCAGGACATCCCAAGACCAGCCAAAGTCGTGTTTGGACGCCTAGACTATGGGCATAGAAGTACCTCGCAAAAGGTAGCAGACCTCAACTGACAAAAGCTTCTCGAGTTAGCGAGGACTGAGCTGGCAACTCGAGCTCGAGCTCGAGAGAGAGAGAGAGACACAACGTGGCAGCCAGAAAGGCACGCTTCCGCTTCTGCTGCTTACGGACTTATGTCCGTTGGGCTCGCCGCCCTGCGGTGAAACAGTCTATCACAGGGTGAAACTGAGTGTCCGTTCAGCATACATCGACTATTTGTTTACACCTCACCATGCGGCTCAGCCAGCGGATCAACATCCGGCCGGCGAGGTGTGACGGTGTTATCCCAACCGATGTGGCTGCATGGCTCCCGTTGCTGCCATGGCAATCGGAGCCTGTAACCCAGATCTATGAGTCAGCGCCAGCATGACAAGTCTTCAGGATGGCAATGGCCCTTGGGCTACAAGTATATCCTCATCACGCCTCGGCGCCCTCGCTGCATTCCTCGGGCCTCGGCATCCTTGCAGGTTTCCGACTCTGAGGAACCCTCTTCATCGCTGCCGCTGGCGTCGGCCTCGCTTTCCTCACTGTCGGCCTCAGGCCTCGGCATCCCTGTGGCATGCTGAATGGGCCCGCTCGGTAAAGGAGAATTCGATGGGCCCTCAAGTTGCACGAGATGCACCAAGCCCGGCGAAGGAGCTTCGGGCAACGGAGAAATCAAGTCCAAGGGACGCTCCAACTCCTCGGGGATGTCCGAAGTCTCCGAAGCAAACATCGCGTCTTGCATGTTGCGGGGAGGCTGTATCCCCATCGGCTCAGCTTCAATGGCCACCAGGGTCTCCGGCGACTTCTCTGGAGCGGCCGCCAAACCCTTGACATGCAGCGAGATCTGGAGCTTTCTCTTGTCATGGTAGAGAGGCAACTCCCCTTCAAAGCCTCCCTCTTCCAGTCGCGCCGCCTCGAGGTAGGCCGAGCCGATGGGATTCCTGATCGGACCCTCATCGCGAATCGCGCCTGCGCGAGAACCCGGAGCTCAAATAAGCGAGGAAGAGGTCAGCATGCCTGTGAGGCGACTCCCGTCAATAAACGAGGCGGACTTCTTCTCCGCAACCCGGCAGATGGACAAGACAAGGACCTGATTCGGCTCGAGCTTGTAGAGGACATGCGACCGGAAGGTGCCATCAATCCGCGGCCCGCGACCTGGCAGGTCACCTCATGCCAAAGATCCTTCTCGTCTTTCTTCAGTTGATCAGGCAGCGCCACATGCTCCAGAAGCACCTGATGCAACTCGCCTGAATGCTGCCACTTCTGTAACTCCTTGGCGGCAAAATCTTCCAATCTTCGGCATTGCAGCCACAAGACCATGAAGATGGCGAGGAACATGGGCGACAAGAGCATTGACTGCAGAAGACTGGTCACGGCAGATATAAACCATTTTTCACCGTCTGAGGGGCTTACACTTGCAATGAAAATGCAGACCACTGTGAGGCACAGCAGGAAATATGAAACCAGGACCGCCCAGAAGAAGATCAGGCGACAGGACACCTTCGAACGGCACAGGCCCATCAGCGCGGCGAGCGGAATGGCGCCCGCGAAGGCCGAGATCCATGCGACGACCACGGAGCGGACCACCTTCTCCAGCACAGTCTCCGGCGGTCCGCAGTCGGGCTGACTGCCCGGCGCCAGGGCATTGGTGCCGAAGAAGATGGCCGCGATGGCCCAGCCGGAGTAGACTTTCGAGATCACCGCGGCAGTTCGCTGCATGCAGGTGGACGACATGCGAGGGTCCAGGACGTGAATGCAGGTGCAGTTCATGGTGTACAAGAGGAACAGCTTTGACCGGAAGCTGGTCCTGTCGAAGTTGTGCAGGGTGGACTTGGCGAGGTCGTGGATTAGCGTGTTTCCAACTTTCGAATGCATCCGGTCCAGCTGGTCGAGCTTCAGCCCTGTCGTCTGACTGACCACCACGGAGGAGATTGAGCGAGTTAAGTCGGGTTGCAGCATCCTTTTGATGTTGTCCGTCAACCAGTCGCAGAGATTGCCCTTACTTTGCAGGCGAAGCGCACAGGCCTCGAGCGTTCGCTGCAGGTGATTCATGTGCGCCTTGTGCTTCTGATCTGCTCTCATCGCAAGGAAGAGGAGGAGAACTCCCATCGACACCGCTATCCAGTTGAGCACCGCTGGCAGCCGAATCATCCACTCCGCGTGGAGAAGAGATTCCAAGCCCTCCAAGGAAAAGATGGCAACAGCATTGGAGCAAAGAAGCACTGAGACGGTCGCGTCAACGATGATGGCAAACAGGGACAAGTGCGTGGTTGAACACGCAACCATGCCAATCTCTGGGAAAGCAGCCAAAGTGTACACCCCACGTGTGGACCAAAACTGTTCCACCTCGTCCCAGTACTTGCATGTTGCACCAGGGTTGCTGCTAGCGTTCCCGGCGGTGAGGTTGAACCTAATTGGCGTGGTCAAGTCTCCCGTGACCTGGTTGCCATGCACGTCCCAGATCTCGATACTTAGGAGGGATGAAGTCAGGACTTGGCCCGATCCCATGGAGTCGTTCAGCAAACCAGGCTCTATCGAATTGCCCTCAGCCAGCAGGGCCAGGGTCAAGCGCGCCACCCCCAGCTCCTTGGCAGGGATTGCGACGGCTGCAACTTCCAGCTGCACGCTCAGTTGCAGAACCACATCCTCTGTGACTTCCTCCGTGTTGATGGCCGCGGCCACGACCTCACTGCCACGGATGTCCTGGACGGATATTATCGTCACGATGTCCGAAGAGTTTTGCGCCAGCTTCAACACGTCTTCGAGCACAGCAGCCTGCGCAGTTGCCAGCTCCTCAATCGAAGCTATCTCGTCGGTCAATCTCGCTCTCGTGGTGTTGGGGACCAAGGTTTCAGATCTGGAAGTGGTCGAGCTTGTGGAGCTGGAGGTTGCAACAGTGGCTGTGGCGGTAGTTGGTTTTGATGTCGATGCCGACGCGCTGGATGATGTACTAGTCGAAGATGTGGCTGTTGTAGTGCCTGCGGATGTGGTCGATGTTGATGTGCAACATGAAGATGCACTTGAGGAAGTGCTTGAAGAGCTGGTACTTGCAGTAGCTGATGTTGATGTTGATGCCGTCGTGCTTGATGATACTGATATACTTGTTGAAGACGAGAATGTTGTACTGCTTGTTGACGTGCTGCTTGAAAATGCACTTGAGGAAGTGCTTGAAGAGCTGGTACTTACAACAGCTGACGTTGATGTAGACGTTGTCATGCTGGACGATACTGATATACTCGTTGAAGACGAGACTGTTGTACTGCTTGTTGACGTGCTGCTTGAAAACGCACTTGAGGAAGTGCTTGAAGAGCTGGTACTTACAGTAGCTGACGTTGATGTAGACGTTGTCACGCTTGAGGATACTGATATGCTCGTTGAAGACGAGACGGTTGCACTGCTTGTTGATGATATACTGGTTGAGGATGTTGTGGCTGATGTACCGCTTGTTGATGTGGTGGATGTGGTCGACGTGGATGTGCTGCTTGAAGATGCACTTGAGGAAGTGCTTGAAGAGCTGGTAGCTGATGTTAGGGTTGTAGTCGCGGTTGACGAGCTCGTTGATGATGTGCTCGTTGAAGATGCACTTGTGCTACTGCTACTGCGGCTGCTGCTGGTGCTGCTGCTTGTAGTCGTGCTCCAAGTAGGAAGGCCGAATTTCGCCGCTGTCATGTCGCGGGTACCACCGATGAAAGTGTTGCCGTAGAACGAGCCTGACGTGTCACCAACAAGCAGCAGATTGCCTTCAGAATCGTATGCACAATTCTGCCACCACTCCCAAGAAGCGCTTGTTCCATACTGATAAGACCATTGCAGAGCGCGACTTGTATCATACTCAACAGCCACAAAATCACATCCACCTTGATTGGTAGCTCCATTAAAACCACCGTTGGTGCTTCCTACCATCACAGGGTTTCCTGTGAAGGGATGAACCGATAGTCCAATGATATAGTGCCAGTTGAGGGCGCTGGCTTGGACCAACCACTGTTGGACTCCAGCCGCATCCAACTTGAGCATGAGTGCATCATACTGGGTTCCCGGATTGGTGTAGCCAGGCAAGCTGCCGCGAGTAGCTCCAGCGACGAAGATGTCACCGGACAAACCGAGTGCAATCCCCCCCGCCATTTCGTCCTCAGTTGTTCCGATCTGGTAAGACCAAATGAAAGTGCCTGCGCTGTCTGTCTTCAAGACAACGATGTCCGCGCCTCCGTACCCTGTCTTGCCAGGGAAGGCACCTCCCATTGTTCCAGCAGCGTAAATGTTGTCAGAGGCATCCGTCACGCACCGTGACCATTGGTCCGAGCCACTGGTTGACACTGTTTCTGATAAGAGCCACTGTTGAGCTCCTGCACTGTTTAACTTTAGCAGAACGGCACCCTGGCCTCCTTGATTGGCATGCCCCGAAATAGCGCCCTCCGTCCAACCGCCAACCACGATATTGCCAGATGTGTCAAGTGCCACAGAAATAGCTAAGTCTTGCACAGTGGAACCTCCTTTGAAAGCCCACTGAAAACTCCGGCGCTGTTTAGCTTGACCACTACGATGTCCTGTGCACCAATGGGCGTTGCCAAATCTGCCCCTTCATACCCGCCAGCCAGAAACACATTGCCAGAAGCATCGATAGCTGCTCCATTGAAAACGTTTTCTGACGTTCCTTCTCCGTGTCGGTAAGTCCACTGCACAACACCATTAGTATCTAGTTTCATTGCCAAAATATCAAATTGTCCTTGCGCGGCCTCGCCGTTGACAGTTCCCTCAGCCATACCTCCGATGACCACGCCGTTGTCACCAGGATCCACGGCTACTGCCCAGGTCGCGTCCTTCCCGGAGCTTCCAGTTTGGAGTGTCCACAACGGAGTGAGTTGTCCATCCACTGGTCTTAGGTACAAGACCCAAAGCGCCCAAGGCACATCTTGCCAGAAAGTCCACATTTGGAGCGTAAGCTGCGTGGAACTCAGGCAAAACCATGTGCAGTTAAGTTGGAAAAGCTAACTGTGCGGATCAGACGTGGCTGGCCTCTTAACGGTCTTAATGCGTTATGTTCTGATTGGGTAGCCTGTGTAAGTACCCTGCCCTGGTATCATGTGGGTCCCACCAACACGAGAGCAGTCAGACGCTTCAGATGGGGCGCTTGACATCGATGTTTCCGAAACTGTCACTGAACCCTCCCGTGGCAATGCTGCGAAAGGGTGCCTTGAGCGCTGCGGCGCATTCAGCTCGGCATTGCTCCCCATGGGAGAGAGTCCAAAACGGCTGGCACCTGAGAGACGACGAGAGCACGTGAGTTCACATGAGCATCATCCGAAACCACGTAGACATAGGCATAGCATAGTCACAGATAGGCATGCGGCATAGGAAGGAGATAGGCATAGGCACAGACAGTAGACGCACGCACACACACACACACACATGACATGTGTGTGTGTACTATGAGAGAGCGAGGGAAGCGAGAGCGAGAGAGAGAGAGAGAGAGAGAGAGAGTGAAGACACACCCCTGGCCACAGCCCTGGCGAAAGAAAGAGAGAGAGAGAGAGAGAGAGAGAGAGAGCGAGCGCTCTGGGGCCCCACGCCAGGCGGGCACCGAGGAGAGCCCTGCGGCTGAGAGCCGGCTCACTGCGGCCTCCGCCGATGCGAAACGCGGGTCCGCCACCGGTGGCAATGCTTCATCTCCTGAACTGAAGGGTTTGGGGTTTCGGCACTCACAGGGTTGTCCCGCATGATTCGGGATTTTTTTCGCAAGATTAGGGTTTAAGACAAAACCGGAAGCGGAGGAGGTCCAGGAGTTCACCTATCCATGTGATTCTTGGAAGGCCGCTTGTGTGCTCCAAGCACTGCACTCCGAAGAACCGCGGAGGTCCTAGAACCAAGCAGCGACAAGTCGCACAGACGGGTTAGATCTGTTTAGATCTGTTTAGTGTCCAGAGCCGCGGGGAGGGGGAGCGGGGGGGGGGGGACTGCTTGAGGCTGAGGCGAGGTGAGATCAATGCCAAGGGGCTCAAGTCCAGTCCATCCTCGGCTCCCAAACCGCGCTCCCGGCGCAGGGCACGGAGGCTCCGAGTCTTTCCTCCTCCAGAGACTGCCAGGACCAGGCCCAGCACGAAGTCCTTCGCGTCCCAAAGTTTGCTATCAGATGCTTTTTTCTGCATTCTTGTATTTCACTATGTAGTGAAGCTTCCATCTCTCACGACAGTCCTCTGGGATGGCTTCGGGGACCTCCATGCCCCCCCTCACCCTCGTTCGCGCAGGCGTCTCATCAGTCTGAGACTTGAGACAGCAGCTGAGAAAGGGGCGCCTCCCGCCTCCCTGCGTTGCACTGCTTTACTCTCTGCCGTCTCTGCACAGCAAGTTCGACTCTTTGCCTTGCAGTGCGCACGACGTGGGTCATGTGAGTCCCTTTGGACGCACGGCCGACGGCGGCTGCTAGTTGAGGGTCCACGCTACAACAACTCTCAATCCTGGAGGCGCAAGTGCCGGTAGATGTCTCGGAACTGGCAAACAGAAGCGAAGTCACAAGGATGATTTCTGCAAGGTTTTTCTTCGCCTCCTTCAGCTCGCTTTCGCTGAATGCCTTGTCAAACAGCTGTTTCGGGCGATGCACGCTCACTTTCGTGGAGTGAGGGCCTAGAAGCGCTCGCTTCGGAACCTATTTTTCCCTCCCGCCTGGCTAGGACGAACCTACGATGCAGGGTCTATCAATGCAATACGAAAATGCGTCAACACAGTTTCGGCAAAGGAAGACAGGCGCCCCGCCTCCTGCTGGACCGCCTGAGAGCGCCTGGCCAGACCGCGAGATGCAGGCTCTCTTTTTGGGAGTTTGGGGTGTCTGGGCTGCCGCCGACCCTTTTCAGCTCGCTTGCTTGCGAAGAGGGTGCCACGACAGTGCTCCACGCTGATGAAGCTGACAACTTTGGAAAGCGGAAAAGTGGTAGCTACCTGACAATAGCTTGACCCCAGCATCGACAGGCATGTCCCGACGTGCTTTCGGTGCAACAGAGGTGCGCTGGCGCTGGCATCATCCGCCAGGGTGACCTTCGCCACGTTCTCCGTGCCGACTCGGGCTTCAAAGCGCCCCAGCACTTCTCCCAAGAAACGGCCGTCGACATCGTCTGCCCCATCAAAGCCGTGCGCACCCCCAAGCAGCACAAACCTCAATGCAATGAAGGCAATGTCTCTCTTTTTGTTTTTTAACTCTTCACCGCCTATTCGGAATTCGTGCAGAGAATGCAGTCGGGTGGCAGCTTGTCGTAGCTGCCTGTCCAGCCAGACTCTTGCAACTCGTCGTAAGTCAGCACGGCCCCGGCATCAAACGCAAGGACACCAGCCTCCACAGCTTCCAGAGCGGCAATTAAACATACTCCGCCAACAAACAGCATCCAACAGCAGAGAACGGCCTTGGCGGGCGCCTCCCCGACGAGCTCGTCCAGGCTTTCCAGGAGCATGCCTCTGCACCATGGATGGTGTATGTAACACCCCGGGTCCGTCCACCTGCCTCCATTCACTCAGACCTAGCTACCTTCCTACCTTTTTTACACAGGCTTGATTGGAGCTCAGGTAGCTACATGTCTAATTAATTACCCACTTACCTACCTGCATCTGCAGCTGCACAATTAAAGCTCGCACCATATGCAGCACGGATTGGTGTATGTACATCGGTACAGCTCGGTAGAATACATGCCTGCCATGCAAGCGCCTGCCTCCCGCAGCCAAACCACATACCTGGCTACCTACCTACCTACCTACCTACCTACCTACCTACCTACCTACCTGCCCGCTTGCCTACCTACCAACCTACCTACATGAATAGATGGCAGAGGTATACATAATATGCATATTGCACAGAGATTTACAAATACATATACATATACGTATACATATACATGTACATGTAAACAATCATACATACAAACGGACAAAAACATACAAAAACGTGTGAACATATATACATACGTATACATAAAGATAGAAAAAGGCCCATAAATACACATGCATACCCATGCCTGCACACACATACACGTACATACGTGTACATACGGTAAGAATGTTTCTGTTCCTGCTGTCGTTGCTTTTTTGCTGTCGCTGCAGGAGCGCCTTTATTTTTTGCTGTCGTTGCGGGGGCGCGTTCATTTTTTTGCAGTCGTCGCGGTGGCCTTTATTTTTGCTTTGCTGTCGTGGCGAGGGCACCTTTTCTTCTTGCTGTCGTTGCGGGGCGTGTTTTTTTATGCTGCTGTCCTCCCGGGGACGCGTTTATTTCTTGCTGTCGTTGCGGGGGCGCGTTTATTTTTTGCTGTCGTCCCCGAGGGCGCGTTTATTTTTTTGCTGTCGTCCACCGGGGCGCACGTATTTTTTGCTGTCGTCGCGGGGGCGCGTTGCTTGTTTTCCTGTCGTCCCCGGGCCCGGGGGGCGTTATGTTTTTGCTGTCGTCGCGGAGGATGCGTTCATTTTTTGCTGTCGTTGCGAGGCGCGCGTGTATTTTTTGCTGTCGTTGCGGGAACCGGCGTTCACTCACTCACTGGCTTCCTGGGCCCGTGCAACGACAACAAAAAACCAACCTAGAGCAGCTACAGCAAAAAAATAAGCACGGGTTCCATATACATACATAGGCATACATACACATGCACATAAATATGCATACACATATATACACATACATACACATACATACACATACATACACATACATACACATACATACACATACATACATACATACATACATACATACAACATAAACCATACATGTACATACATCTGCATAACAATACCTCCACATAACGACACATACATTCGTAGACATACTTATACTTATACTCATGCAGACACAACCAGACATACACGTACATATTAATACACAGAC